AGAAGGTGACACGTCGTTTTAATAAGCAGCTTCAGCGATTTCCCAAAGTGGTGACCCCGACGCACACAAAAAAACCGTTGCATTAACAGTTACCCCGGATACAGCTAAATTTTTTATAAAATTGAAGCGATGTTGAAAGGCGATACTACGGACTCAACTGAAAACACCGCGGTCATCAAGGACGCCGCGAAAGATCTGGACGAGAATTCACCCACGGGTACCATAAAAAAGATACCAGCTGTGGATGTTAACGCCGTGGCAATGAAAATCGACATGCCAGCAATCGATCGGAAAAACATCGAAGGATGGTTCTTAAGCCTGGATTACTGGTTCGCAGCAATGGGCATCAAGAGTGATACACAGAAGTACAACAGCGCGATGGCAGCATTAGGCCCACGTGTACTGCAAGACTTCCTAGCCACCGTAGGGGAAGTGCCCGAACAAGCACGGTACGAATTCATCAAACGCCGATTGATCACCTTTTGCACTGACAGCCAGCAACGCCGACTCAACCAAATGCTGAACGAGACACAACTCGGGGACCAACGCCCAAGCCAACTATTTGCAGAGATGATGAGATTGGTGGGCGACACCATGAGCGAATCTGCAGTAAAAAACATTTGGGCAAAACGTCTACCCATCTATGCTCAGGCCGCTGTAGCCGCTTGCACAGGACCATCGAAGGAGTATTTAAAAATTGCAGATGCCATCGTTGATACAATTAGTCTACAAGTGAACAGCAGTACGGACGACCAGAGTAGCCACATAACACCCACACCTACAGCTGTCGTACAAAGGCAGTCAAGGGGAGAATATCATGACCTACGAAACGCCGTATACGAGCTAACTAAGCGCTTGGACCGCATGAGCGTCGAACGCGGAAGGCAACGCGAACGAAGCCGTCCGAGTTACCGCCGCCAATCTCAAAAGCGCCAACGAAGCAGCACACCAGCAAACACCGACGAATGCTGGTACCATCGTAAGTTCGGCTCAAGTAGCAAAAACTGCAGACCACCGTGCAGGCATTACAAGCCTAGTAACAATGATAATAGTGCTAAATGAATCGACGCGGTCGCTGGCGCAGAAACAGAAGCGGTCGCCAGCGTAAACCGCCTCACAATCAATGACCGAAAATCCGCCATTTCATTTCTTATCGATACAGGAGCCGACGTTTCCGTCCTACCTCGCCGTTTTACCGCAAATACACCGGCGTCGACGGTTAAGCTTTACGCAGCAAACGGCACGACCATTTCGACGTTCGGACATCTACGCTTAAGCCTCGACCTCGGCCTACGAAGACGATTCGACTGGACGTTTACGATTGCCGACGTACAGACTCCAATCATAGGCGCAGACTTTATACAGCATTATGGACTGCTCATCGATTTAAAAAACAATAAACTCATCGACAGCGTGACAAATGCAAAGGCAAAAAGCCGCGTTCTAACGGTAAGCAAGATCGCCATACGAACGTTCAGCAGCGAAACAAAGTGCGCCGATTTACTGGCAGAGTTTCACGACATTACGCGCTTACCAGCCATGCGAACGCACAGCACCTTTGCTACACAGCATCGAATCGAGACGACCGGACAACCCGTGTTCGCCCGTCCACGCCGATTGGAGCCAGCGAAGCTGAAAATAGCCAAAGACGAGTTTGAATTTCTTTTGCGGCAGGGCATTATTCGCCCATCTTGCAGCAACTATGCAAGCCCACTGCATATGGTGAAAAAGGCCGACGGCAAATGGCGACCGTGCGGCGATTACAGGAGGCTCAATTCGCAAACAACGCCCGACCGATACCCGATACCTTACCTGCAAGATTGCACATCGATGCTGGACGGGAAACAAATTTTTAGCAAAATAGATCTGCAGAAAGCATACCACCAGCTTCCGGTTCATCCAGACGACGTTCATAAAACGGCCATAACGACACCGTTTGGCCTATACGAATACTTGTATATGCCTTTCGGCTTACGAAACGCAGCACAATCCTTCCAGAGGTTGATCCACGAAACTCTTCGAGGGTTACATTTCGTGTTCGCGTATATCGATGACATACTAATCGCGTCACGAGACTACGAAGAACATCGCAGCCACCTACGTCAAGTTTTTACCCGCCTCAGAGAATACGGTCTCACCATCAACCCCGCCAAATGTGAGTTTTGCGTGAAGGAAATCAGATTCCTAGGGCATTTAATTACTCAGTCTGGCATCCAACCTTTGCCGGAAAGGGTCGAAGCAATCAGAAAATTCGAAAAACCAACCGCAGCGTACCAGCTTAAAAAGTTTCTAGCTACAGTTAATTTTTACCACAAGTTTTTGCCTCACGCAGCTGAATACCAAAAGAAGCTGACAGCGATGATTCCTGGAAACAAGCGAAACGACAAAAGAAGCTTAGTATGGAATGATGAGCAAAGTTTCGCATTTGAGAAATGTAAGTCAGAACTTGCAAACGCCGCTATATTGGCTCATCCTCGTCAAAACGCTCCTCTGTCATTAGTTACCGACGCCTCGGACGTTGCAGTTGGAGCCGTGTTGAATCAGCTGGCGAAAAAAGACGCACAGCCCCTTGGCTACTTCTCCAAAAAACTGACCGCAACGGAGCAGAGGTATAGCACCTATGACAGGGAGCTCCTTGCTATATACAAAGCTGTCAAGCATTTTAGATATATGCTGGAAGGCCGAACATTTTTCATAATGACCGACCACAAGCCGCTTATATTCGCTTACCAGCAAAATAGCGAAAAGGCGACACCGCGTCAACGTCGACATTTGGACTTTATTAGCCAGTATACAACAGACCTCCGATATATACAGGGAGCAAACAACCACACGGCAGACTTGCTATCCAGAGTAAACGAAATTACGCCCCCGATAGACTTCAGCGAAATAGCGAGAGCGCAGAAAAACGACGCCGAACTAAAGGAATTAATGGTAGGTAATACAACCTCACTAAAGTTCAAGCTTCTTAAGATTCCAGACGAGCCAAGCGAAATATGGTGCGATGTTTCATCTAAAAAGGTGCGCCCGTTCATCCCCAAGCAGTTCCGGACACAAGTTTTAAGCAACGTTCACAACATGGCACACCCAGGTTCCAAAACCACCGTCAAATTGGTTTCCGATAGCTTTATCTGGCCGAATATTCGAAAAGACGCTGCGCTCTTCGCACGACGCTGCCTCCAATGTCAGAGATCGAAGGTAATCCGCCATAATAAGTCGCCAGTCCAACAGTACACACCGCCCAATCGACGCTTCGATCACATCAACGTCGACATCATCGGCCCTTTACCTCCTCACAATGGGCAACGTTATTGTTTAACGCTAATCGACCGCTTTACGCGTTGGCCAGAAGCGACTCCAATTCCGGACATATCAGCAGAAACGGTGGCAAAAACCTTGGTAGCGACGTGGATATCACGATATGGCTGTCCGCAATACATCACGACCGATCAAGGGCGCCAATTTGAGTCGTACTTGCTAAAGGAGCTGTTCAAAATACTCGGCACCAAACACGTAAGAACAACGCCTTACCACCCGCAATCGAACGGGATAATAGAGCGGTGGCATAGGACACTAAAAGCGTCAATTTTAGCAGCCGGAAAAGATACATGGACCGACAATTTACCACTAATACTTCTTGGTTTGAGGACAGCGTACAAGCCCGATCTTAAATCGTCACCAGCGGAACTACTGTACGGCACAACGCTAAGAATACCAGGGGAATTCGTTGAGGCAGCCCGCTCCGAACAAACACCCTACGAATTCCTTCAAATTTTACGAGAAATAATGGAAAAACTGCGACCGACTCAAACTAAGTACCACACCACCTTAACCAGCTACATTCATACGGACTTAGGAAAATGTTCACATGTTTTGGTTCGCAACGACCGTATACGCCCATCACTTACGCCAGCTTATGAAGGGCCGTTCGAAGTAAAACAACGACATACAAAGTTTTTCACACTGTTAATAGGAGAGCGACAAGTAAACGTCAGCATCGATCGACTAAAACCAGCGTACCTTTGGGGAGACGAAGGAAGGGCAGAGTGCGCGCCAGCGCCGCGACAAACAACAGAAGAACAACAATCGAGACCGAAACGCAAGATACGAAAACCCGTACGATTTCAGTAGAAGGGGAGTACTGTGGTGCTTTCAGCATCACAACACGCGACATACATATGTACAGAA